TCGTATGTCACCGGCAGCTTCCCCTGGTGTGTTACGCCACGTCTCAATCCAAGTTTGCGTAGATCTTCCCGAACAGAGTCGTATCTTTTCCGGAGTTGTTGCAGACCCGCAGCCAGGTCTGGGTAAAACCGGATCCAATTCTCCTTCGTAGCGAATGTCCTCTTGGCCTTTGCAGCGTTCAGGACAGCCTCCCTGTCCCTGTAGTTGAGAAAACGCATTATCAGAGTGCGAGGTCTCTCTCTGCCGTGTTTCGTTCCGTGGGCCAACTCGGTGCTTTCAATAAACATCGGGGCTCTGAAGTGAAAATACTCAGGATCTCAGGAATCCACCTTTCCAGAAACTTGCACGGGTCACTTCCCTCGGTACCTTCATCCAAGTTAACAAGCCTAACGTTGTTCCGTCTTCACCTCGATTCCAAGTCCATTACTTTGTCTTCCAAGATGTTCTGCTTCGACTCCAGTGCACTAGCTTTAGCCCGCAGGGTTTCAACCTTATCTTCGTCGTTAGATGTGTGGGTTTCTGCCTGTGTCACTCGCTCGGCGCAGTCCTGAACATCCTGTCGAAGATGATCCAAATCACTTTTATGGCCGTAACTATGGATAGTATTTCATCCACTTTACTGCTCTGGGTTCTGTCTTCGCTCGCATCCCTCGTCGCCATTCCGGTGGGGAGTTGCTACCGCTAGCATTAGCTTTCTGTGCCTCGCTGCGATGGCCATACTCCGTTTGTTTATGCTGTTTAATCTTCTCGGTGGCATCTTGGCTTACTTTTCTTCCCTTTGCTGGAGAGACGTTGTTCCATCCAATAAAGGAAAACAATAAAGAATCAAATATTGGTTAATAATTTGAATTTGAGCACAGCAACCCCCAGCATTTACAAGCCCTTTTGTCAGTTTCTGTGTAGACTCTTTTCTTGCATGTTTTGATGGAGCAGTGTTTGTTATAGAGAGATGTGAATGTGCTGGAGGAATGAGTTCTAAGCTGCATTTACATCTGAGGATAGATAAATGGGTTCAGTCCTGGTTCTCTAAATCATGTTTTAGAGCTGTTTCTGTATGTTCTGTGATCATTCTACTGTAGTGTTGGTTTTGAGTGGCTCTGGGTGTTTTGCAGTTTAAGTCATAGGTCATGAAGATGGGTAAATGCTCAGTAATGTCATTCATTATCAGTCGGCCGCTTGTGTTTTTGTCCAGAATGTTCCAGAAGATGTTGTCTATCAGGGTGGCACTGTGTGATGTGATTCTTGTTGGTCTTGTGATTAGTGGATAGAGTCCCATTGAAAACATGGAATCAAGAAATTCCTCTGTAAGTTTGTGTTTGTTCGGGTTTAAAAGGTCAATATTGAAGTCCCCACATATGATTATATCTTTTTTGTTTGTGTTGGTCAATATTTTCTCCATCCATTCATTGAATATTTTCAGATCAGCTCCAGGTGCACGGTAAATGCAGCTTATAACAGTCTCTTGTCTGGAATTATAAGTTCAACTGTGATAGATTCAAAAATATCATTAACAGCTAAAGACATATTTTCTATGATGGAACATTTATTATTATTATCTATAAACAGCGCCACACCTCCTCCAGGTTTTTGGTGTCTGTGAGTACAAAACATAACCATCCATTAGAAACTCATTTCCCATATCCTTACTTAACCATGTCTCAGAGAAAGCCACTATGTTCAAAGGATTTACATTGTTTTAAGCAGTCCTGGATGGAATCAAAATTGTCAAATAAACTTCTACTGTTAAAGTGAACTAAAGAAATGACGTTATCCAGTGTGAATTCTTTGTGAAATGTGTCATACATGAAATACATACAATCATTGTGTTTGAGAATACTGCTGTCCGGATCCATTTCATTCATTGAACTTTGTGATTTATAATTAATATTGTTGGTGATTTTGATCATTTGGTCCAAACTGAGATCATATATATTTGTGTCAGCCTCCTCAACGTCAGAGGAGTCTATACTATCCAAGCTGGACATATATTTCTTTCTCAGAAACATAAATCAGAGAAGAGGGGGAGCAGTCACAGAGCGAAGGGCCACAGACACACAACAGACACAAGCACACAACAGACACACAACAGACACAAGCACACAACAACATGATCTTCCAAGCAAACACACAAACAATATTTCACCCACTCCCACACAATCACACTCATACAGATACATACAGACATGTCAGAATAGACTGGCAAGAGCAAGACAAGGATAAAAACACAACAACCCCAACCCCCCCTTGATGTCATTTGGGGTAAAAACAATAATCAGTCCATTTGGTCCATGTGCAACCACAGTTCATATTTGACATCTTATTTATTTATTTATTTTTATTACATTTGAATGAACCGAAGAAGAAAGTGAGGTAGGCGTGTCGTATCACCAGCCAGTAGTGTCATCGCGTACGGAAGTAAACAAAACAGAAACTGTCAACTTGTTGATGGGAGTCTTACATGATAGATCCATGAGTCTTACCAAAAAGCAGATCCCGTGGATTCATTTCTTGGAGATGAAGTCCAGCGCATCAGAGGAGTTGTCAAAGAAGTGTTGTTCACCTCCTTTTTCAACTTTCATTGTTGCTGGGTACAACAGAAAAGCACTAAAGCCAGCGCTCCGAGCTTGGTACATCAGCGGGCAGCAGGGTCGTCTTCTCTTGGAGGTGGCATCACTGTAATCCGGGACCGAGCAAATGGACTTCCCAAACAGCTGCACGGGGTTCTTCCTGGCCTCGTTCAGGATCCGCTCTCTGTCCGTGAATCGGAGACACCTGGTGATGATCGCCCTGGGATAGGAGCTTTATCCTGGTCGCCCCAAACGGTGTCACACCCAAGAGACGAGCCCCAATATGTTACACCCAAGAGACGAGCCCCAATATGTTACACCCAAGAGACGAGCCCCAATATGTTACACCCAAGAGACGAGCCCCAATATGTTACACCCAAGAGACGAGCCCCAATATGTTACACCCAAGAGACGAGCCCCAATATGTTACACCCAAGAGACGAACCCCAATATGTTACACCCAAGAGACGAACCCCAATATGTTACACCCAAGAGACGAGCCCCAATATGTTACACCCAAGAGACGAACCCCAATATGTTACACCCAAGAGACGAACCCCAATATTCTACACTCTAACTCTACAGGTTCAACATAAAAGACAAGAGGAAACTAAAAGTAAAGATACTTTATTAACAACACAAAAGTTTAGGGATTGAACACAAAGAAAACCAAATGGGGGAAGGCAGGTGTGGGGGTGTGTGAGAGAGAGAGAGAAGAAGAAGGTCCTTTATTTGTCCCACAATGGGGAAATTTCAGGTTGATGCATACACATATAGCACATACATATATACACATACACATCTATGCATGCAGCGAACATCATATCCGCGCTCTTCATAGGCTAAGTGTGTTAAGTGTCTTGCCCAAGGACACAACGACAGCAGGCATCAGTGGGATTCGGTGGAGAAGGTCCCGTGGTGGGCTCGATCCCACGACCTTTGGGCCACTGGTGGGGTCCAGGTGTTTCTTATAGGCTCCCAGCAGGAAACATGAAACAGGCTGGAAATACAGGTCTGAGAGGCAGCTCCACACGTCACACATGGTACTTACTTTCTGGTCACTAACACTGACACATGGTACTTACTTTCTGGTCACTAACACAGACACATGGTACTTACTTTCTGGTCACTAACACTGACACATCCACTTAAAATATGCCCTGTTTCCATCTACTCTACTCTACTCTACTCTACTCTACTCTACTCTACTCTACTCTACTCTACTCTACTCTACTCTACTCTACTCTACTCTACTCTACTCTACTCTACCCTACTGTTTCCTCTGGTCCTGTGTAACCAGTACCAGGTCCATATATTTCTCTGCTTCATAAATGATTTCATAACTGTATTGACACAAACTGAGACATGAACAAAGAGAGGCTCAAACACAGACCACAGTCAGAAAGAAGTTTAACAAGTTTAATGTTCAAAAAGCACTAAAAACATCCAAAAACAGGCAGAATCAGAATCATTTTTATTGCCATGTAAGTAACAGGAAGTCACAGACGAGGAAACTGCTTTGGCTCTCGCTGCAAACGACTCAAAAGTAGAGAAGAGAAGAATAAGGCAGAATAAAACATTTCTAAACATTTCTAAAGTTTAGCATTTCCTAAAATAGAAAGAGTTCAAAGTAAAGTTATTATGATTATTATTATTTACAAGTGCACTCGGTGAACACAAGGAAGGAGCGAGACACAGACTCTGGAGCAGGCAACACACACTTTACATGACATTTAGATCATAATGAGAAAAGTGCTCATCCCACTCCCTAAACACATGAACAGAAGGAGACCGATCCCACAGAGTTAAACACATGAACAGGAGACCGATCCCACAGAGTTAAACACATGAACAGAAGGAGACCGATCCCACAGAGTTAAACACATGAACAGAAGGAGACCGATCCCACAGAGTTAAACACATGAACAGAAGGAGACCCATCCCACAGAGTTAAACACATGAACAGAAGGAGACCGATCCCACAGAGTTAAACACATGAACAGAAGGAGACCGATCCCACAGAGTTAAACACATGAACAGAAGGAGACCGATCCCACAGAGTTAAACACATGAACAGAAGGAGACCCATCCCACAGAGTTAAACACATGAACAGAAGGAGACCCATCCCACAGAGTTAAACACATGAACAGAAGGAGACCGATCCCACAGAGTTAACCACATGAACAGAAGGAGACCGATCCCACAGAGTTAAACACATGAACAGAAGGAGACCGATCCCACAGAGTTAAACACATGAACAGAAGGAGACCGATCCCACAGAGTTAAACACATGAACAGAAGGAGACCGATCCCACAGAGTTAAACACATGAACAGAAGGAGACCGATCCCACAGAGTTAAACACATGAACAGAAGGAGACCGATCCCACAGAGTTAAACACATGAACAGAAGGAGACCGATCCCACAGAGTCTCACTCAGACCCAGGACACAGAGACACTGAGGAGCCTTCATCCAGGAGCCAAAACCCAGGGACCAGAGACTGAGAGAAGGTGGAGCTGAAGGTGTGGAGGTGGATCAGTCCCTCAGAGGAGACTGTGTAGAAGGACAGAGACCCAGCAGGACAGTCCACAAAGACTCCCACTGTCCCAGAGGAGGAGGACCTGGACTGAGGGAGGTCAATGTATTTGTTATTATGATGAACAGAGAAACCATGTTCAGAGCAGTACAGACTCCAGGACTGAGGGTTGAATCCAAACCCACAGTCATAACTGGCTCCTTTCCTCTGGATGTTTCTGTAACTCACTGATATATAAACCCTTCCGCTCCACTGGACCTCCCAGTACCAGCGACCAGTCAGACCAGATGAACACATGATCTGTTCCACTGAGTCAAATCTGTCCTGGTGCTCTGGATAGAGCTGCTGCTCCCTCACATATGTCACCTTCTTGTTGTTGTCAGACAGTTTGAGGTTTGTGTGAGCGGAGTTTGGATCCAGAGTGAGATCACAGAGATCTGAGAACACAACACAGCAGCAGTTAGAGAGACCATGTGGACACACAGAGACCATGTGGACACACAGACACCATGTGAACACACAGAGACCATGTGGACACACAGAGACCATGTGGACACACAGAGACCATGTGGACACACAGAGATCATGTGGACACACAGAGACCATGTGGACACACAGAGACCATGTGGACACACAGAGACCATGTGGACACACAGAGACCATGTGGGCACAAAGAGACCATGTGGACACACAGCCACCATGTGGAGACACAAAGACCATGGGTCACACAGACACCATGTGGACACACAGAGACCATGGGACACACAGAGACCATGTGGACACACAGCCACCACGGGACACACAGAGACCATGTGGACACAAACACCATGGGACAAACACATACATCTGAAACAGAGACCATGTGGACAAACACATACATCTGAAACAGAGACCATTTGGACAAACACATACATCTGACATAGAGACCATGTGGACACACACATACATCTGACACAGAGACCATGTGGACAATAGTATCACATGATGCTAACATGTATAATAGTATCACATGATGCTAACATGTAAGCCAGTATCATGTGATGCTAACATGTACACTAGTATCTCTGTGCACCTTTTTAGTAAACTTTTAACAACTTTTTAGCGCGTTTTTATTGTTCAGTTTTTTAATATATCTGAGTGTTTTATCTTTTTAATTCAGTGGTTTCAGCAAATAGCACTTAGTCCCGACTGAAACCCACTAGTAGCACAGAGGCTAACACAAGCTAACGAGGACATGGAAAGTGACAATGAAATTGGCTCAAACATGCACAATATTAGTCGCCTCACCTTGGAGCTCCGTGAGAGCGACCGTGCCACCATTGCAGATCTACGAAAAGAAGTCCTTCGTCTCACCGCAGAGTTGAATGAGAAACAATCTCTAGTATCCAAACTTTTTGAAGTCGCTGGTGGGCAGCACTCACGGCTGATGTCACTGAGCGCTGCATATTGTGACACTGTCGTGTGGGAGAGATCCATCAGCTCCGGACCCTCCTGTTCTACACCTAAGCGCCCGGTTCCGAATAACGAGCCCGCGGATTCCGAGGAGCCATCCTGCGCCGTGGCCCATGTCCTGAGTCTGGCAAACCGCTATGCAGCCCTCTCCACTGACATCCCGGCCCCCTCAGCAGAATCCCTGGACACTGCAGCGTACTCTACTGCTCGAGGATCCAAGTCCACTACGAGGAAAACGCTCCTAAAGGAAGCAGTCCTCAGGCGAAAGAGCGGTCCACCAGCCATGTTGACCCCAGTGCAGCAGCCTCAGACTGGGGTAGCTAGCCATCATCACCACCGCTCACCTCCACCGGGTCAGCAGCAGCGCCCAGAGCCAGCCCCTCTCACCGCTCCAGCGTCCCCGAGCACACAGCGTGGGTCGCCTGTAGCTGAGAGTCAGCACCCCCGCTCCTCCTCTCCATGTGTTCAGCGGCGCTCAGGCTCGGGTCCTGCTTCGGGTGAACCCGCTGGTTCCGTCCACCGAGCTCCTTCTCCGAGGCCACTCTTCGCCCCGACCACTCTGATTATTGGAGATTCCATCGTGAGGCACGTCCGCTTCTTTAACGCGGTCACTCGCTGTATTCCCGGAGCTACTGTACCAGACCTGCTCATACGTCTCCCTCCTCTGCTTCAGTCCCTGCCTGATACCGTTTCCAAGGTAGTCGTGCATGTGGGAATTAACGACATGAAACTTCAGCAGTCAGAAGTCACGAAGAAACATTTTATGGATCTGTTCCACCTCCTTCAATCCTCCGGACTATCTGTTTTTATTTCTGGTCCAATCCCGACTGTAAACAGAGGTGACTGCCTCTACAGTCGTGTTGTGGCGCTGCATGTGTGGCTTCAGGCTACATGCAGCTCTTTTAACTTTGTCTTTGTGAATAACTTTGCCCTTTTCTGGAAACGTTACGAAGCCTATCGTCCAGACGGATTACACCCAAACAGATACGGTAGCAGCCTGTTGATGGATTACATACGTTATGTTGTTCAGCGTTCCCCGAGGGGGGCGTGACTGTTTACATCTGAGCCCCCTCGGACCCCACCGCACTCCCCCGCCTCCTGCTCACCAGCACCGGGTGAGTACAACGGTGCAAACACTGCTCCCTGTCCGTCTGGCAGTGCATTACCAGTCCAAACACTGAACTGTGCTGACTCCCTTCTGACTCTGGGAGCTAAAGAACAACAAGGGTTTTCACATTTTAGGCCAATTGAGACTGTGTGTGTTCCTCGCACCAGCTCAAAAATGTTTTTAAATTCTAAAAAACGAAATCAAAACAGGACAGCAGTTAGACGGTCCAACTCTGCAAATCTAATTTCTGTTCCCTGTAAAAATCAATCAACCACATTAATCGACTCTGACGTTATTTTTAAACTTGCTATGCTTAATGTCAGATCTCTATGTAACAAATCATTTTTAATTAATAATTTTATCACTTCTTATGATCTTGATTTTATGCTTATGGCTGAAACATGGCTGGACCAAAATACAGGAAATGCAGTTCTAATAGAAGCAACACCACCCAATTTTAAATTCGAATCCGAAATACGAGAAAACAAAAGGGGGGGAGGCATAGCTGCAGTTTTTAGAGAGCACTTTGTCTCCCATAGAATGCCCCTTGGAAATTTTTCATCGTTTGAGTATATTTCTTTTAAAATGGAACAAAAGCAATCTTCTACTCTTTTCATTGTCCTGTACAGGCCACCACAGTCATGTTGCGATTTTATTGACCATTTTACTGAACTACTTTCATTCGTGTGCACAGATTTTGATAGTTTAGTTATTACAGGTGATTTTAATGTACATGTTGATAATGTTGATGACAGAAATGCAAAGGAGCTGGCTTCTGTATTTGAGACCTTTGGTTTCATTCAGCACGTGAGTGGCCCCACCCACAGCAGGGGGCACACTCTTGACCTGCTAATTACAAAGGGGGTTAATGTATCAAATGTTAATGTAGTTGATGTTGCTTTGTCAGATCATTTCTGTGTATTTTTTGACATGTGTTTTGCTAGCAAACCACCAGCTGAATCTACAACTGTTAGAAGAAGACACATACATGAAAACACAAGTGAACTGTTCATGGGAATGCTAAATTTTGAGAAAACTCCATGCTCTACTGTTGATGAATTGTATAACTCTGTCACCACCAGTGTTCTGACTGTTCTGGACGCCATTGCTCCTGTGACGGTTAAAATAGTTACCAGTAAGAAAAAGGCCCCATGGACTAAGGCAGACTCGGTTAGGGCACAGAAGCAAGAGTGCCGGAGGGCCGAACGGAAGTGGCGAAAGTCCAATTTCCAGGGCGATTATGAAATCTTTAAAGATGAGTTGGGTGAATTTAACCGGGTTCTACGTAGAACAAGAGAAATGTATTTTTCTGACATTATTGGAGGTTGCAGTAACAATTTTCGTGTTATGTTTTCAACAGTTGGTAGATTAACAAACCCCCCTGTAAAGTTGCCCCTAGAATTTTCCTCTAAATCTAGGTGTAATGAGTTCGCACAGTTTTTCGATGACAAAGTACAAGGAATCAAAAACACTATCACCTCCACAGCACGTATAACAATGCAACAGCCAGAGAAGCTTTCTGAGCTAACTCACTTTGCACCTGTGGATACTGAAACTGTCAAAAAGATAATCATGAGTCTGAGCTCCTCCACATGTAGCCTGGATATATTGCCCTCTAAATTTCTGAAGTCCGTCCTGAGCAGTTTGTTACCTTCACTGACACAAATAGTAAACATGTCTCTGTCGTCAGGAACATTTCCTATGGCCCTAAAAACAGCAGTCATAAGACCTCTCCTAAAAAAGAGCAGTCTGGATCCTGCGGGACTTCAAAATTATCGCCCCATATCGAATCTGCCATTTATTGGAAAAATTCTTGAAAAAGTGGCCTCCCAACAACTTACTGAATTTTTAACAATGAATAATTCTTTTGATATGTTCCAGTCTGGGTTTAGACCCCACCACAGCACTGAGACCGCTCTAGTGAAGGTAACAAACGACATTCGACTTCACACTGATGCAGGTAAAGTCACAGTTTTGGTCATGTTAGATCTTAGTGCCGCGTTCGACACTGTCGACCATGAGATCCTCATGCAGAGACTGGAGGACTGGGCTGGTGTCACTGGCACAGCCCTAGACTGGTTTAGGTCTTACCTGGAGGATAGGAAGTACTTTGTGGAGATTGGAGACTGCGTCTCAGATGATGTGGCCCTGACCTGTGGTGTACCACAGGGGTCGATCCTGGGACCTCTCCTATTTAATCTCTACATGCTGCCGTTAGGTCAGTTAATACAAAGAAACAAAGTGTCCTACCACAATTACGCTGACGACACTCAGATCTATGTCTCACTGACTGCAGGAGAACATGGACCACTGGATTTGCTCCTTCACTGTATCCAACAGATCAGTGACTGGATGCAAAATAATTTCCTCCAGCTAAATACAGACAAAACCGAAATCATTGTCTTTGGTCCCCAGAAACAAAGAGAGGGCGTCATTTGTCAACTTCAGTCTCTCTCCCTACTTCCTTCAGACAAGGTCAGAAATTTGGGGGTAATACTGGACTCAGACCTAAATTTCAATAGCCACATAAAATCAATAACATCAACAGCTTTTTACCATCTGAAGAACATTGCCAAAGTTAGAAATATAGTGTCCAGGGCAGACTTGGAGATTCTTGTCCATGCATTTGTCTCCAGCAGGCTAGACTACTGCAATGGCCTGCTTACAGGTCTGTCCAAACAGACCTGTAAGCAGCTGCAGTACATCCAAAATGCAGCAGCTAGAGTCCTGACAGGAACCAGGAAGTATGACCATATTAGTCCGGTCCTCAGGTCTCTGCACTGGCTTCCTGTGGCTCAGAGAATAGATTTTAAAACAGCTCTGCTTGTGTAACAAGTCTCTCCATGGCCTTGCACCAGAATACATTAGTGACATGTTGGTGTCATATGAACCAGCCCGGACTCTGAGGAGCACAGGGACTGGCCTCCTGCTGGTGCCCAGAGTGAGAACCAAACATGGGGAGGCTGCGTTTCAGATCCATGCAGCTAAGATCTGGAACAATCTCCCTGAAAATGTGAGGGAGGCGTCTACTCTGTCAATGTTCAAATCCAGGTTAAAGACTGTTCTGTTTGCCTGTGCATACAACTGAAGGATTTTATCTCCATTTTTAATGCACTGCTGTCATTTATTTATTTTTTTTAAATTTCTTGTGTAATTTTGAAAGTTTTAATGGTTTTATTCTTTTGTGTGATTTTAATGTTTTAATTGTGTTTTAATCTTTTGTGTGATTTTAATGTTTTAATTGTGATTCTGGTGTTTGTTTTATGTGATGATTTGTGATGTGGACTGTGAAGCGCTTTGTGTTGCCATGTGTATGAAAGGCGCTCTACAAATAAACTTTGATTGATTGATTGATTGATAGTATCACATGGTGCTAACATGTAAGCTAGTTTCACATGATGCTAACATATAAACTAGTATCACATGATGCTAACATGTAAACTAGTATCACATGATGCTAACATGTAAGCTAGTATCACATGATGCTAACATGTAAGCTTGCATCACATGATGCTAACATGTAAGCTAATATCACATGATGCTAACATGTAAACTAGTATCACATGATGCTAACATGTAAGCTAGTATAACATGATGCTAACATGTAAACTAGTATCACATGATGCTAACATGTAAGCTAGTATCACATGATGCTAACATGTAAGCTTGCATCACATGATGCTAACATGTAAGCTAATATAACATGCTGCTAACATGTAAGCTGCAACAGTAAATAGACACATGATGCTAACATGTAAACTAGCATCACATGATGCTAACATGTAACTAGTATCACATGATGCTAACATGTAAACTAGTATCACATGATGCTAACATGTAAACTAGTATCACATGATGCTAACATGTAAGCTAGTATCACATGATGCTAACATGTAAACTAGTATCACATGATGCTAACATGTAAGCTAGTATCACATGATGCTAACATGTAAGCTAGTATCACATGATGCTAACATGTAAGCTAGTATCACATGATGCTAACATGTAAGCTAGTATCACATGATGCTAACATGTAAACTAGTATCACATGATGCTAACATGTAAGCTAGTATCACATGATGCTAACATGTAAGCTAGTATCACATGATGCTAACATGTAAGCTAGTATCACATGATGCTAACATGTAAGCTAGTATCACATGATGCTAACATGTAAACTAGTATCACATGATGCTAACATGTAAGCTAGTATCACATGATGCTAACATTTACAGTTTTTCTAAGTCGCTTTGGTGCATTTCTCACATCAGACTTAAAGTTCTCAAAACTATTAGTTCAACCTCTGAATGAATGAATGAATATTTTTATTTTGGACCTTTAAAATGAGAAAAACCAAGCAAAAGCAATTACACATTGTTTAAACAAATCAAATAAACAATGTCCAAAATAGGAGTGGGAAGAAGTTAAAGAAACCTGTGTAATTCCTACTTACAACTCTGACTTTACAGAATAAATAATATCTTCAGTTACCATTTGTAACCAAGCGCTTGGAAGTTTTTAACATGCCTCACGAACATATTTATCAAAAATAATGGCTTTGTACTTGTTTTTAAACTCGAATATTGTTTGACATTTTTTAATTTCCTCGTCCAATGGATTCAATGTTTTAGTCCACTGACAGTAACACAAAAGCTTTTTAAATTGGAACAAAAACAATCCTCTTCAATTATAACACGTATCCCTTTGAATAAACATATTCTGAATGTGTGCAGCTGTTTACGTCTCGCTCTGAATAAAATAAGACGTGTTTGCAAATCAATCAGGTCGTGAATCTTTATTATTTGTGACTGAATGAATAATGGGTTTGTGTGATCTCTGTGTCCGGCGTTATTGAAGATTCTTATTGCCTTTTTCATCAGTTTGACGAGTGGATTTAGCCTGGTTTTGTAAATGTTGCCCCAGATCTCAGCACAGTAACTAAAATATGGTGAAATTAGTGAATGGTTTAATGTGTGCACTGATTGTGTGTCCAATATAACTTTTGCTTTGTATAAGATTGCAATGCTTTTTGATATTTTCTTTTGTATGTATGCTATGTGACTCTTCCAATTTAATTTATCCTCAATTATGACTCCCAGAAATGTATTGTCTGTTACTCTTTCAGTTTCAACACCTTCTATTTCAAGCGTTACTTCTTCCTTATCTTTAACATTTCCAAAAAACATCATTTTAGTTTTGTTCAAATGTAATGATAATTTATTTGGAGCAAACCATTTTTGTATCCCTCCTGTGGACTCACCACCTGCAGAGGGTCAGTGAGGGGCTGGTGCTATGAGACTTGGGTGCATCTCTGACTGCCACCCCCCTGACCCAGAAATGGATTAAAGGGAAGAAAATGGATGGATGGCATTGTTTTAACTTGTTCATTTCTGTTTCTATCTGAGTTGTGAGTTCGCTTCAGTTGTGACTTGCACAAAACAAATTTGTGTCATCAGCAAAGAGCACAGTTTTGAAAATGTGCGACACATTACACTAATCATGAATATATAAAATAAATAGCTTTGGACCCACTACTGCCCCCTGGGGGACACCACATAAACATCCACATATGGAGAGCTGACATCATCAAGCTTCACAAACTGTTTTTATCCATTCTAATGCAATATCCCATATTTCTCTAACTTCTCTATTCATATATTGTGATTTATTGTATCAAATGCTTTTTTCAAGTCTAAAAAAAGCCCAGCTGTGATTTTCCCTTCATCTAAGAAATGTGTGATTTCTTCAACAGACTCCATTCATGCAGATGTGGACCGTTTTGCCCTGAAACCATATTGACTGTCATGTAAGTATGCTTGTCACATGATGCTAAATGTATCTAATCTCAGTGTAAAGTGTTTCTAATACTTTAGAGAATTGCTAAATATGAAGCAGGTCTACATAGTTGGTAAAATGATGCTTATTTCCAGTTTTGAATAGTGCTATCACTTTTGCTATCTTCATACTGTTTGACTGTGCCTGTAATGAATGATACATTGAAGATGTGTACTAATGCTTTTGAGATATAATGAATGACTTCTTTTATCAAGGCCATGCTCACATCATTGTAATCACTTGATTTCTTACTTTTAAATGGACTGACTACTCCCAACATTTCCATTTCATCCACTGGCTGTAGAAACATGGAATGAGGATTAGTTTCTATTGGCTGTGCCCAAGAGGTTTCTCCCATGTTTTGTTTGGGGATTTTGGCTGCTAAGCTAGTATCACATGATGCTAACATGTAACATAGTATCACATGATGCTAACATGTAAGCTAGTATCACATGATGCTAACATGTAAGCTAGTATCACATGATGCTAACATGTAAGCTAGTATCACATGATGCTAACATGTAAACTAGCATCACATGATGCTAACATGTACAGGTACTATGGTACAGCACAGCTCTGATGGTGGAGCTGCAGTTGGCTGGATGACACTGTGCCACATTAGCTCCTTTGTGTTAGCGCAGAGGGCCACAGGACGCAGAGGGCCATATTTGGCCCGCAGGCCGCAGGTTGGACATGCCATGACCTTGTGAGTTCAGCTTTAGTCCTTGTCACCGCTGACTTTGTTTTTACTTCATTATTTATTTAAAGTGGTTCAGAGCGACACACGTTCTGTCCAGTTCTTCTGAAACATGTGGAACACGCTGGATTCTAAACAAATATGTTTCTGTGACAGTTTTTACCCAAAATGAACCTTCATTTCAACTTTGTCCATTTCCATTTTCCCCAAACTCAGCTCCATAAGCAGTGACAGATCCAGGAGAAGCTTTTAATGAAGTCACTTCAACACTTACACTTTCTGGGTCCTGGAGTTAACCTCTGACCTCCAGAATGCTCCAGTCTGAAACACATTAAATCTCATTAAAACATCTGTCACACTGAGTCCGGTTATGGCGGCCATGTAGGGAAGACATGCTTTAGACCGCTCCGCTGCCCGTGCTCAAATTATTAACCAATATTTGATTCTTTATTGTTTCCTTTATTGGATGGAACAACGTCTCCAGCAAAGGGAAAGCAAAGTAAGCCAAGATGCCACCGAGAAGATTAAACAGCATAAACTAACGGAGTATGGCCATCGCAGCGAGGCACAGAAAGCTAATGCTAGCGGTAGCAACTCCCCACCCGGAATGGCGACGAGGGATGCGAGCGAAGACAGAACCCAGAGCAGTAAAGTGGATGAAATACTATCCATAGTTACTGCCATAAAAAGTGATTTGGATCATCTTCGACAGGATGTTCAGGACTGCGCCGAGCGAGTGACACAGGCAGAAACCCACACATCTAACGACGAAGATGAGGTTGAAACCCTGCGGGCTAAAGCTAGTGCACTGGAGTCGAAGCAGAACATCTTGGAAGACAAAGTAATGGACTTGGAATCGAGGTGAAGACGGAACAACGTTAGGCTTGTTAACTTGGATGAAGGTACCGAGGGAAGTGACCCGTGCAAGTTTCTGGAAAGGTGGATTCCTGAGATCCTGAGTATTTCACTTCAGACCCCGATGTTTATTGAAAGCACCGAGTTGGCCCACGGAAAGAACACGGCAGAGAGAGACCTCGCACTCTGATAATGCGTTTTCTCAACTACAGGGACAGGGAGGCTGTCCTGAACGCTGCAAAGGCCAAAGCGGACATTCGCTACGAAGGAGATTGGATCCGGTTTTACCCAGACCTGGCTGCGGGTCTGCAACAACTCCGGAAAAGATATGACTCTGTTCGGGAAGATCTACGCAAACTTGGATTGAGACATGGCGTAACACACCAGGGGAAGCTGCCGGTGACATACGAGGAGAAGACGTGTGAGTTTGCATCTCCAGCGGAGGCGCCTGTTTTTGTAAATAACATCCTGACTGAAAGAGATCAGTGAAATAGGCCACATGCACGGGGAGGCGTGACGTCATTTCCTGTTAACAAAGATCAGCCCGTTCACTTCCTGTCTATGCTATCTATGGCTTTTAGTGACGTTTTAGTGACGTTTTTAGTAATTAGATTGATACATTCAGCTGAGACTGACCCAAAAGTGTGGACGTGCTTTCTCTCTGAGGTAGAGCTGTGACTGTGGCCACTCAGAGAGATTAGTAAACTTTATAAAAACACAATGACAGCACAATCAGAGAGCACTGCTGTGTCCCAAAAATGCCCAGTATCCTACAGTTTAATTCCCGTTTGAGCATTATTTGGGAAAGTCGTGTAAACCACTGAACTCCAGTGAAACTCAAGCCGTTCCCGCGCACAGGAAGTGAAGTGGGGTTGGAACTAAAACGCAGAAGTGGTGCGTGCATAGAGCCCATTGGTCTGTTTTGATTTACCTTCCGACCCAGCAGTGAGTATTCCTAAATAGTTTCAATTCTGTTTCTATTAACCCTTTAAGCGCCAAAGTCGCAATATTGCGACAAGCAACATTGCTCACTTAAACAGGCTGTATGTAAAAATGTGGTGCAGAATCTTGTTAATACTTTTCACCAGGGGTTAGTGGACATGTGTGCCTGTAATATGAGCAACATTTGTGGGTGTGGTTATATTGAAAGTTTTTGAGTAAATTGAGTTCGTAAAACACCTGCGGCGCAGCGGCGCGGAGGCGAAGCAGCAGCGTCAGAGCTGAGAGGAGCGAGAGCAGAGCAGAGGGAAAGAGTGTTTTTTATTTTACTCACGAGGTCTTCAGTACCAGAGAAGTACTTGGTCTGGTACTGGCTCACTCAGATTCAGAGCAGGAAGACACGCAGGTGTCCAGTGAAGCAGACACGGACATTATTAGTGACGGGGAGACCGCGCTCCATAGTCCACAATCAGCCCCTGTACAGCGGCTGCTTGTCCTCCGTGTGGCCGCTGTAGAAGCATTCTGTGAACGCCAAGCAGGATCCGTGGTGGAGGGGACAGGGGGATCATAACACCGGGCATGTGGGAGAAAGTAGCGGGGGTAGACATCCACGGGGAACACGGGAGACGCGGGAGAAGTCGCGGGAGAGCCGCGGGAAAAAAACACATCGCTAATCGCGTTCACTGTCTTTACCAACAGCGATGATGAGGATCGAGGCAGTTCTTGAGAGAAAATAATCCACAAAAGTGGATCAGAAGTGTTGAAGAGCCTGTTGTATGTTGTTGAGACGATCTGACAAGTTCTGAGCCCATTCATTTCATCTCTCTGTTTCTAAACGGTAAATCCTGGAGCCTCATTTCCACTGAGAAAAATAGTAAGCCCACTACTTCTCTGAAAGGGAAATATTGAAACCAATCTCAAGATTTCATGACTGTAAACTATAAAGAGTGCTGTCTTGATCACTGAAGGTCTTTGAAAATAATACAATTCCATATGGCCGCGAACCAGTGCTAAAACATTATCTATAATCTGGATCAGGGAATTTATTTCTATCCCAAATTCATTTCATACTAAAGATATGTCACATTGACTGTTTATAGTATTCCCTGATCTCAAATAACTCCCAAGCTACAGCTTTTTGAAGTCTTTATACAATAATTAACATTTTCCAAAATGGCCGCCACCTTGATGACGTCACAATATGCAAATTAGATGACGAATCAACTTCCATCCCAAAGTTTGGTTCAAACTGAAGATATTTCTAATTTACAGTATGCCTTTATCTCAAACCATTTTAAAGTTATAGCCTTTTGAAATCTTGAAATCAAAATTGTATATTTTCTTGAAAAAAGTCTGGCGCCTAAAGGGTTAACACTAACTCTTATAAAATGTGCCTTATATTTGTCACTGCTTTCATTTGGTGCAACACGGACTATTCAGGCTGTTTCAATGACTCTCGTGGCCGATTAGCGGCGAAGAATGAACAATATCTTGAGGTCTGCACGAGCGGCAGCGGTTTTGTTTTTGTTTGTTTTTTAGATAGAGAAGAATGGTAGACTGCTCCCCATTTTGTGTGGATCTGCCGCACGCAGTAACGGGACACGTAAAGGGGAGGGTGGGAGACCTGCAGAGGTTGGGGAAGGGGAGGGGTTTTGGTTTTAGTTCTTGTGTTCAAATGTTGGGTCATGTTAAGCTTCTTAGGAAAATGCAAGTGTATTTAAATAAGCTCAGAAAAGATATCTGTCTGGTTGGGATTAGTTGTTCTTATTATTGTGTTCAGTAGAATTTAGATCATCAAAATGGTACATGGAAAAGATATAAACATAGTTACTTGGAACTGCAGGGGTCTTCAACGATTCAAAAAGGTTCAACAGGTTATGACTAAATTAAAAGACATGGACTCAAAAATGTTATTTCTGCAAGAGACACATTTAGTAGAGGAAGACGGAAAAAGGGTTAGAAGGAGGTGGCGAGGTAATGTTTATACATCAGCACTTTCTTCACGGGCGAGGGGCGTCATGACTTTGATTCATGAATCAGTTCCATTGAACGTTAATAATATAATGAAGGAGAAGAGAGGCAGATATTTGATCATTCAAGGATCTATGCTGCACGAACACATACATTTAGTAAACGTGTCTGGTCCAAATTCAGATGACTCCACTTTTTACCATGACCTCTTCCTTTTGCTTCCAACACTGCCGGGTCACTATGTACTTGCTGGTGATTTCAATTGTACCCTTGTCCCAAGTTAGGACAGGTCCACGGGCACTGATCAATCGCATAACTCATGCAGATGTCACTTGGCCGACCTTTAGAAAGAATGACGTATATCCAGAAGTCAAAACAACATATGTTTGAACACATTTGGGGACCCTTTATTGAGTTCATGAAGGATTTGGACTTTACCGCTGACCTGACACATTATTAAAAGAAGAAAAAAGACAAACTTGCAGGTCTTTACACTGTTTGGATATGATTATTCTCTATTTTGAAGAGAAGCTTTAAGTTCTCATTAGGCCCAGTTGTTGTTTTTGTTCTTTTTATCTTTTTATTTTATTTGTTTTATTCTAAAATCATCTTGTAATACTGAACTACTCTGTTAAATTGTTAACTGAAGCTTTGTTGTATTATATTTAAAACCTCAAATAAATGTATATATAAATATAGATATATATCTGTCACACTAAGACCATGTGTTCTTTGATGTGTGATGTCACACGTCTCTTCTGTCCTTACAGAGCATACCTGAGAGTGTGCAGGGTGCAGTGGGGGTCCTCCAGCAGAGCAGACAGCAGCTTTACTCCTGTATCTCCTGGATGGTTGTAGCTCAGGTCCAGTTCTCTCAGATGGAAGGGGTTGGACCTCAGAGCTGAGGCCAGAGAAGCACAGCCTTCCTCTGACACCAAACAACCTGACAGACTGAACACACACATTATTGTAATCACTCAGTTCATGACTAACATTCAACCCAAATGAGACACAGAACAAGTCCTTTATCTTTAACTGTCTTTGTCCACTGGTATTGTCCAAAACAATGACCAACAGGTTCTGTAAGAACAGTGAATCATATGAACCGTCTGACCTGAGCGTCTCCAGTTTACAGTGAGGACTCTTCAGTCCATCAGACAACAGCTTCAGCCCTGAGTCCTTCAGGTCGTTGAGACTCAGGTCCAGGACTCTCAGACTAGAGGACTGGGAGCTGAGGACTGAGGCCAGAGCTCCACAGCTTCTGTCTGACAGCTCACAGCGGCTCAGTCTGGAGACAGAAAACATGGTTATGTAGAAGTTGAATGAATCCTGTGTTAAACAAAGGTTACTCACAGAGCTTTGGTGGAGGCCTTGACCACTGGCAGCAGCCTCAGGAGAGCCTCCTCTGAAGCACAGTATCTGCTCAGCTCAAACTGGTCCAGATCTTCTTCTGATGACAGTAAGATGAAGGCCAGAGCTGACCACTGAGCAGGAGACAGTCCTTCAGACAGACGTCCTGACCTCAGGGTCTGTTGGATCTGCTCCACCAGAGAAGAATCATTCAGTTCATTCAGACAGTGGAGCAGACTGATGCTCCTCTCTGCAGACACATCCTTACTCAGCTTCTTCTTAATGTACTCTGCTGTCTTCTGATTGGTCTGGGAGCTACTTCCTGTCTGTGTCAACAGACCGTTTAGAAGGCTCTGATTGGTCGACACTGAAAGGCCCAGGAGGAAGCGGAGGAGCAGGTCCAGGTGTCCGTTTGGACTCAGTAAGGCCTGGTCCACAGCTGTCTGATGAAAATGATGCAGTTTTCTTTTCACACTGAATATTGTGGACTTGTGTGTTTTCTGTGACAGCAGGTTGGTTCCAGTGTTGATGAAGGTCAGATGGACGTGAAGAGCAGCCAGAAACTCCTGCACACTCAGATGGATGAAGCAGTAGACCGTGTCCTGGTACAGGCCTGGCTCCTCTCTAAAGACCTGTGTGAAGACTCCGGAGTACACTGAGGCGGCTGCAGCGTCCAGCCCACACTCGCTCAGGTCACAGTCGTAGAAGATCAGGTTTCCTCTCTGCAGCTGCTCAAAGGCCAGTTTTCCCAGAGACTCCACCATCTTCCTGGTGTCTGGACTCCAGTGTGGGTCTGTCTCTGATCCTTCTTTATACTTGATGTTCTTGACTTTGGCCTGAACCACCAGGAAGTGGCTGTACATCTGCGTCAGGCTCTTGGGCAGCTCTCCTCTCTCTCTGCTCTTCAACACATGCTCCAGGACTGTGGCAGTGATCCAGCAGAAGACTGGCATGTGGCACATGATGTGGAGGCTTCTGGACGTCTTGATGTGGGAGAGGACTGTGTCGGCCTGTTCTCCGAACCTCCTCCTGAAGTACTGCTCCTTCTGAGAGTCGCTGAACCCTCGGACCTCTGTCACCATGGAGACGTACTCTGCAGGGATTTGATTGGCCGCCGCGGGGCGTGTGGTGATCCAGAGGCGAGCGGAGGGAAGCAGGCTCCCCCTGATGAGGTTCACCAGCAGCAGGTCCAGAGAGACGGACTCTGTGGGGTCTGAGAGGACACGAGAGCTGCTGAAGTCCAGAGGAAGTCTGCACTCGTCCAGACCGTCAAAGATGAAGAGCACCTGGAGGTCTTCAAAGCTGCAGAGATCTGCTTGTGTTTGACTAAAGAAGTGATGAACAAGTGACACCAGGCTGAAGCTTCTGTCCTTCAGAACATTGAGAGTTCTGAAAGTGAAGGGGAACAGCAGCTGGAGGTCCTGGTTGGCTTTGCCTTCAGCCCAGTCCAGACTGAACTTCTGAGTGAGCACTGTTTTCCCGATGCCAGCCACTCCCTTTGTCAGCACAGTTCTGATTGGTTTGTCTGAGTGGGCCGGGTCTTTAAAGATGTCTTCACACGTGATGGTTCTCTCTGCTGGTCTCCTGGAGGCTGCTTCCATGTGTCGGACCTCATGTTCCTGGTTGACCTCTGAAGAGCCTCCCTCTGTGATGTAGAGCTCGGTGTAGATCTGCTTCAGGAGGGTGGGGGCTCCTGCTTTAGCAATGCCCTCAAACACACACTCAAACCTCTGCTGCAGATCCACCTTCAGTTTACGCTGAGAACGTCCAGAAGAAACCCCTGAATGAAGACAACAGAGACAGGAGTCAGAGAAGATCACATGACCATCATGAACGTGTTCTTACTGCTCCACAGACGCTCAGCCAGCTCCTTCTGATCCATCCTCCTCAGGAAGTTCAGTGTGATCTTCAGGAGCGCCTCACTGCTGCTCCTCTGCTCCTCATCCTCCACAGGCTCTAAGCATTCTGGGTAATCTGTGCTCAGAAGCCTGAGGAACTTCTTTAGCTCCTCCAGGACAAAAGTGGAGAGGTTCTTCTCCAGGTGCTGCACACACACATAAGAAACAACACAAATGGAGATGGGTTAGTGGCTGCTACACTTTGGCGACCCACAGAAGGACGGGTCAAATGCAGAGGACACATTTCCTCCCGGTGGCAGTAAAGGACCTTAACCTCTTTAAAGATGGAAACACATGTGACTGTGTAGCACCTGTGGCCTGATTAAATGTTGAGACTAATGAATATAAGTCAAAGTAACCAGGTAACACAATTGGAAGTCTGGGCTAGTAACAGAAGTCTAGTTCCGGCTCTAGGAGGGAGTGGACAGGAGACGGGAGAACTTTTTGTAGGTACCATGTATTTAGTAAAGAAAAAGTGCGAAAACATTTACAGTGTACACCAAAAAGTATAGATTCTGTGAATGGCCATTCAGTAATAAAAGTACAATAGCAACAATGATTCAATGCAGCTGTCGAAATAACACTCAATCATCATTAGACATATTTCAAAAGATCAAAAGTCCAGGACCCACAACTTGGGAACCCCAAAGCTGAGGGATCCCACTCACTTCCCGACCCCTCCACCAGTCCCAAGGAGAACCCACGTCTGGGTTATAGTGTGAATGTCCAAGGGGGAATTGTCTTTAGAGTTTATGGGGGTAGTATTGTGTGTGGGCAGTGAGAGGTGCGTGGGGAGAGTTCGTGGGCTACAAGGAGCCCCCTACCAGCCCGGCAGGAGAGGTGCTTCTGTTCTTCAGCGGAGTGCCAGACTATAGGCTCTCTGCCTGCTCCTTTCAGCTCGCCATCATCAAATCAGTAGGAACCATGGCCCAGGTTTGTGATGAATCCCTACTTAAGACCTTTCCTGCTCGGTTTGGGACACGGTAGGAGACTCCTGTAGCACGCCTCTGATGTTGCTTCCCCCACAGCCACTCCAGACTGATGCGGGCCGCCATATTAGAATGCGGGATACGTCCTACTACGTCACGTGGCGTGATGACGTCACAGAAAGAAAGCGCAGTGATTGGCTAACATATATAGTATATATGTTAGGGCGACAGTAGCTCAGTTGGTAGAGCATTGGCCTTTGGGCCTGAAGGTCGTGGGTTCGAGCCCACCGTAAGACCTACTTCACGACTCCCACTGATGACTGCTGTCGTTGTGTCCGTGGGCAAGACACTTAACCCTACTTTGCCCAAAAGCCCCAACTGAAAGATCTCAGCTCCTGTGGATTCACCACCTGCAGGAGGATCAGTGAGGGGCTGGTGCTATGTGTACTGGGTGCAGCTCTGACTGCCACCCCCCCAACCCAGAAATGGATTAAGGGGAAGAAAATGGATGGATGGATGGATGGATATAGTATAGCTATAGTGAATGGGGAGAAAATATAAAAAGAATGGGCAGAGACATGCAGGTTTTACCACCTGGGTTACAACTGTATCTTGTGGAAAAACTAGCATAAAGAGTCTTTTCTCCTGAAGTCAGAGTGTGTCACAGGTTTGTGTGTGTGTCGTTTTGTGCGTCTGAAGCTTTGTGTAGTGTGTGTATAATAAAGAGAGAACAGGACACATGGACATGAGTCACATCTGTGTGAAACTAGTCCTTCAGCTCAACATCTACAAACGACTGAATGACAGACCTTAAATATGGAGACCAGGTGAGAGCCATGGTGCGGACCATTGGAGACATCTGCAGCCGCTCTGTGGAGAGACAGAGACACTTATGTCCATGAGACAGAGACACTTATGTCCATGAGACAGAGACACTTCTGTCCATGAGACTGAGACACTTATGTCCATGAGACAGAGACACTTATGTCCATGAGACTGAGACACTTATGTCCATGAGACAGAGACACTTATGTCCATTAGACAGAGACACTTATGTCCATTAGACAGAGACACTTATGTCCATGAGACTGAGACACTTATGTCCATGAGACAGAGACACTTATGTCCATGAGACAGAGACACTTATGTCCATGAGACAGATACACTTATGTCCATGAGACTGAGACACTTATGTCCATGAGACTGAGACACTTATGTCCATGAGACTGAGACACTTATGTCCATGAGACTGAGACACTTATGTCCATGAGACAGAGACACTTATGTCCATGAGACTGAGACACTTATGTCCATGAGACTGAGACACTTATGTCCATGAGACTGAGACACTTATGTTCATGAGACTGAGACACTTATGTCCATGAGACAGAGACACTTATGTCCATGAGACTGAGACACTTATGTCCATGAGACTGAGACACTTATGTCCATCAGACTGAGACACTTATGTCCATGAGACAGAGACACTTATGTCCATGAGACAGAGACACTTATGTCCATCAGACTGAGACACTTATGTCCATGAGACAGAGACACTTATGTCCATGAGACAGAGACACTTATGTCCATCAGACTGAGACACTTATGTCCATGAGACAGAGACACTTATGTCCATGAGACTGAGACACTTATGTCCATGAGACTGAGACACTTATGTCCATGAGACTGAGACACTCATGTCCATCAGACTGAGACACTTATGTCCATGAGACAGAGACACTTATGTCCATGAGACAGAGACACTTGTGTCCATGAGACAGGGACAATTATGTCCATGAGACTGAGACACTTATGTCCATGAGACAGAGACACTTATGTCCATGAGACTGAGACACTTATGTCCATGAGACAGAGACACTTATGTCCATGAGACAGAGACACTTCTGTCCATGAGACTGAGACACTTCTGTCCATGAGACTGAGACACTTATGTCCATGAGACTGAGACACTTATGTCCATGAGACAGAGACACTTATGTCCATGAGACTGAGACACTTATGTCCATGAGACTGAGACACTTATGTCCATGAGACTGAGACACTTACTGTATGTCCATGAGACTGAGACACTTATGTCCATGAGACTGAGACACTTATGTCCATGAGACTGAGACACTTATGTCCATGAGACTGAGACACTTATGTCCATGAGACATAGACACTTATGTCCATGAGACTGAGATACTTATGTCCATGAGACTGAGACACTTATGTCCATGAGACTGAGACACTTATGTCCATGAGACTGAGACACTTATGTCCATGAGACAGAGACACTTATGTCCATGAGACTGAGACTGAGACACGTATGTCCATGAGACTCACTCTGTCTTTAAGTCCCATGGTTCTCCCATAGACTGGTCACTCCTGAAGTTCCGTGGTAACTCCTTAGACCAGTCACTCCTGAGGGACTCACATCTGGGACCAGGTCCAGACTGAAGTTTGTGGAGGATCCTGAGACACAGAAGAAGAGAGCTTCAGTGTTGGAGAGGCCTTCACCACAAACAGACAGATATCATCTACACCTGGTATCTACACCTGGTATGAGCTCTGTCCATGTCTTCAGGACACTGTGTCTGTGAGCTGCGGATACAAGGAGTGGGACTTACCAAGGACCAGCTCCTCTTTATCATGGTTTAGTCCTGGTTTAGTCCTGGTTTAGTCTTGGTTTAGTCCTGGTTTAGTCCTGGTTTAGTCTTGGTTTAGTCCTGGTTTAGTCTTGGTTTAGTCCTGGTTTAGTCGATGTGTTTCTCAATGAGGCAAAGGCCCCTAGACAACTTTCAAATACAAATCAATAATAAAACTATTGAAAGAGTAGAGGAGTTCAAGTATCTTGGAGTACTCATGGACTCTCATCTTAAATTTGGAGCTCATGTGAAAAAGATAATAAAGACTGTCAAGATCAACTTGAACTGTTTCCGTCTAATAAGATAAAAACTCTCAATCAGTGCAGCCAAGCTCTTCTTCCATTCAATGATCCTGTCCCATTTTTCATATTGCATCACTGTGTGGGGCCAAGCTAACCAGTCCACCATGAAAGGTCTGAACTCTCTGTACAAGCAAGCTCTGAAAGTGCTCGATAAAAAGCCCACTTTGTGGCACCATTGCAAAGTTCAGGAAAAATATAATTGTTTAAGTTTTGATAATTTTATAACATACTTTTTTATTGAACTAGTCTTTAAATGTGTAAACAACCTCGCTCCCAATATCGCTGCAGGAATGATTGAGAAATGTGTAGCTCACAGGATGACCACTAGGGGCGCTGCCAATAGAGACTGCAGAGCAACAAGATGTAAAACATCATTTGGACAGACTGCATTCGCAGTGAAAGGCCCACAGCTTTGGAACACGTTACCTGCAGAACTGAAAGCCCTAACAGACTTGAAGGAGTTTAAAATTAAAGTCAAACTATGGCTCAAAAGGACCCACACTTGTGAGCATAATGCAAGACTGTAATCATTTATAGTATTTTTTTTATTTTTTATTTTTTTTTGTATTGTATTCTTGTTTATTATTTAGTATAACTTATTACTTATTTTTTTAATATAATGATGTATGTATAATGTAAATGTGATGTATTTATAGGTTTTAGGGACCAGGTCTGCAAACTAGCTGTTAGCTATACGGCCTATGAACACAGCATCGGTTCCTGTAACAATGCTTCTTGTTCTGTCCCTACCAAATAAACAAATAATAATAACTAACACAGACACATCAACAAGTCACACATGGTACTTACTTTCTGGTCACTAACACAGACACATGGTACTTACTTTATGGTCACTATCACAGACACGTGGTACTTTCTGGTCGCTAACACAGACACATGGTACTTACTTTCTGGTCACTCACACAGACACATGGTACTTACTTTCTGGTCACTAACACAGAGAGACACGTATGTCCATGAGACTCACTCTGTCTTTAAGTCCCATGGTTCTCCCATAGACTGGTCACTCCTGAAGTCCCATCGTTGATCCTTAGACCAGTCACTCCTGAGGGACTCACATCTGGGACCAGGTCCAGACTGAAGTTTGTGGAGGATCCTGAGACACAGAAGAAGAGAGCTTCAGTGTTGGAGAGGCCTTCACCATAGGCTGCGTCACGTCCACAAACGCACAGATATCATCTACACCTGGTATCTACACCTGGTATGAGCTCTGTCCATGTCTTCAGGACACTGTGTCTGTGAGCTGCTGATACAAGGAGTGGGACTTACCAAGGACCAGCTCCTCTTTATCATGGTTTAGTCCTGGTTTAGTCCTGGTTTAGTCCTGGTTTAGTCCTGGTTTAGTCCTGGTTTGGTCCCTGGTTTAGTCCTGGTTTAGTCCTGGTTTAGTCTTGGTTTAGTCCTGGTTTAGTCCTGGTTTAGTCCTGGTTTAGTCCTGGTTTAGTCTTGGTTTAGTCCTGGTTTAGTCTTGGTTTAGTCCTGGTTTAGTCCTGGTTTAGTCTTGGTTTAGTCCTGGTTTAGTCCTGGTTTAGTATTGGTTTAGTCCTGGTTTAGTCTTGTTTAGTCCTGGTTTAGTCTTTGTTTAGTCCTGGTTTAGTCCTGGTTTAGTTCTGGTTTAGTCCTGGTTTAGTCTTGGTTTAGTCCTGGTTTAGTCCTGGTTTAGTCTTGGTTTAGTCCTGGTTTAGTCTTTGTTTAGTCCTGGTTTAGTCCTGGTTTAGTTCTGGTTTAGTCCTGGTTTAGTCTTGGTTTAGTCTTGGTTTAGTCCTGGTTTAGTCTTGGTTTAGTCCTGGTTTAGTCCTGGTTTAGTATTGGTTTAGTCCTGGTTTAGTCTTGGTTTAGTCTTGGTTTAGTCCTGGTTTAGTCTTTGTTTAGTCCTGGTTTAGTCCTGGTTTAGTTCTGGTTTAGTCCTGGTTTAGTCCTGGTTTAGTTCTGGTTTAGTCCTGGTTTAGTCCTGGTGGAGCCCAGATATTTAGCTTCTGCAGTTCCATCTATAGGAAAATCTTTGAGTGACGTTGTTGTTTATAGTTGTTCATAAACAATCACTTACACAGACACATGGTAGTTACTTTCTGGTCACTAACACTGACACATGAACATGTCACACATGGTACTTACTTTCTGGTCACTAGCACAGACACATCAACACGTCACATGGTACTTACTTTCTGGTCACAAACACAGACACATCAACACATCACACATGGTACTTACTTTCTGGTCACTAACACTGACACATGAACATGTCACACATGGTACTTACTTTCTGGTCACTAACACTGACACATCAACACGTCACACATGGTACTTGGGAACGTGAGCTGGGATTAGACCGTCGAGAGACAGGTTAGTTTTACCCATTCTGACTTAGAGGCGTTCAGTTAATCCCACAGATGGTAGCTTCGCACCAGTGGCAGTTTTGGCGTTGTCCAGAACTGACCCAGGTAAAGCCACGCTCACGGTGTACTGCGGCACGGTGGCTGAGTGGTTAGCACTCTCGCTTCTCAGCAAGAAGGTGGAGTTTGCATGTTCTCCTCATGTCGGCATAGGTTTCCTCCGGGTACTCCGGTTTCCCCTACCACTAAAAATATGTACATTAGTTCTGGCATGCGCCTCCTGTACTGGCCCCTCCCATCTCTGTGTAAAGTGAGAGACTAATGCCCAAAAATAACAATAGCAAAACGCTTTGTGACTCTGGTCTGTGAAAGGCGCTGTATAAATAAAGATTACTTATTACTTACTTTCTGGTCTGAAATTGTTGAGTTCAGAACAAAGAATGGATTCCAGGTTCAAGGTATTAGGAGGATTTTCCCACAATGTAGGAAAGAACCGCCCTCTTCTCCACTTTCTGAAATAAACTCTTTGGTCTTTTTGTCACCAGAATGATTGACAGTTAGGAGGACCAATAGTCTTGATGATGCACCAGGAAGTAGACTATTCTCTGATAAACCTTTAAGTTGTATTAAGTTATTTCCAGAAGATTTATATATATTAAACATCAAACTATAACGTCATTGTAGTCTGAGTCAGGTTTCCCAAATAGATCCACAGCAGAAATATTCCTCAAATCAAAATGAGCTGTGGATCTGAAAACTAAAAAATCAGTTCAACGATACAGAGGAACAACAGGAGATGACCGCCCAGGCCCTGACCTGCTTAGCCTCAGACACACATGAATCACAGTCAGACTTACCCATGATCTTTCTCCTTTTTAAAGTCAATCAATCGATGATTGGAGCGTTCACTGCTCAGTGACGCCGCCCTGCTGGTGGTGGGAGGACTGTGCTCTCTCTGGTCCATGCTCAGTCTCTCTGTTGCCGCCCTGCTGGTGGTCAGTCCAGACTCCTACACAATAAAACAGTGTTTGACTCCGCCCACTGTTCCTATAGTAACTGTTGTATACATACGTCACACATTAACACGTCACACATGGTACTTACTTTCTGGTCCCTAACACAGACATGTCACACATGGTACTTACTTTCTGGTCACTAACACAGACACATGGTACTTACTTTCTGGTCACTAACACAGACACATGGTACTTACTTTCTGGTCACTAACACAGACACATGGTACTTACTTTCTGGTCACTAACACAGACACATGGTACTTACTTTCTGGTCACTAACACAGACACATGGTACTTACTTTCTGGTCACTAACACAGACACATGGTACTTACTTTCTGGTCACTAACACAGACACATAGTACTTACTTTCTGGTCACTCACACAGACACATGGTACTTACTTTCTGGTCACTAACACAGACACATGGTACTTACTTTCTGGTCACTAACACAGACACATAGTACTTACTTTCTGGTCACTAACACAGACACATGGTACTTACTTTCTGGTCACTAACACAGACACATGGTACTTACTTTCTGGTCACTAACACAGACACATAGTACTTACTTTCTGGTCACTAACACAGACACATGGTACTTACTTTCTGGTTACTAACACAGACACATGGTACTTACTTTCTGGTCACTAAGACAGACACATGGTACTTACTTTCTGGTCACTAACACAGACATGTCACACATGGTACTTACTTTCTGGTCACTAACACAGACACATGGTACTTACTTTCTGGTCCCTAACACAGACACATGGTACTTACTTTCTGGTCACTAACACAGACACATGGTACTTACTTTCTGGTCACTAACACAGACACATGGTACTTACTTTCTGGTCACTAACACAGACACATGGTACTTACTTTCTGGTCACTAACACAGACACATGGTACTTACTTTCTGGTCACTAACACAGACAGACTGATCCTTATTGTTCCTGAAGAAGTCTCTGTCGTGTTGCTCTGAAACACACAAGACCAAGGAGGAAGTCGTCACAACCGACTCAACTGGTTTGGCAGATTTCTCTCTAGTGTCTCTGGTTTCTAAATCTGGAGTCTTCCTGGTGTCTCTCTCTGGTCTCTCTCTGGTCTCTCTCTGGTCTCTCTCTGGTCTCTCTCTGGTCTCTCTCTGGTCTCTCTCTGGTCTCTCTCTGGTCTCTCTCTGGTCTCTCTCTGGTCTCTCTCTCTGGTCTCTCTCTGGTCTCTCTCTGGTCTTTCTCTGGTTTCTCTCTTGATTTTAATAATAATAATGCATTGGTTTATACAGCACTTTTCAGAACACATGTCATTATTGACGATGTGACAGTGATCTCCAAGCACTGCTCTCCTGCTCTGGAATATCTTTTCATTCATTGTAAACCATATTACTCCCCGCGGGAAATTGTTTCATTCATTCTTGCCTCTGTTTACATACCGCCATGCGCGGACGCGCGCGAGGCTCAGCGCGCACTCGCAGAGCAAGTACTGTGTATGGAACGCTTATACCCGGACTCTCTGATTATTATCCTGGGGGATTTTAATAAGGGAAACTTGAGCCAGGAATTACCCAAATACAGACAGTTTATCAAATGCCCGACCAGAGAGGAGAACACTCTGGATCACTGTTACACCACCGTGCGCGGAGCTTTTCGCGCTGTTCCCAAGCCAGCCCTCGGCTTCTCAGATCACTCCATGATACATCTGGTTCCTGCTTACAGACAGAGACTAAAGCTCTCGAAACCTGCAGTGAGGAGCTCCAAAGTGTGGTCTGATGAAGCTGTGGAAGAGCTGCGCGCATGCATGGAATCTACAGACTGGGACCTTTTCAGAGCTGCCACAGACAGCTTGGATGAATATACGGACACTGTGACGTCATACATCCACTTCTGTGAGGATAGCATCATTCCAACAAGGACCAGGGTCATCTATAACAACGACAAACCCTGGTTCACTGCTAAACTCCGGCAGCTCAGGAAAGCAAAGGAGTCTGCTTTCAGGGAGGGGGACCGCAGCGGCTACAAAGCAGCTAAATATCAGTTCAGGAAAGAACTGAAAGCAGCCAAGTCCCGGCACAGAGAACGACTACAGGAGCAGTTTGGTAACAACGATACTGCTTCTGTCTGGAGGGGCCTACGGGAGATCACCAACTACAAACCCAAAGCCCCCCCCTGTGCTGATGACCACAAGCTAGCTGACGATCTGAACTTATTTTTCAGTCGCTTTGATGCTGCCCCTGACACCTCTCCCTCCCCCACCCCCCACTACTCTAACGACCCACCCATCAGCCCTGCCCCCAGCCTAACAATAGCCGCTAAAGAGATTAAACAACTCTTCCTGAGGCTGCACCCCCGCAAAGCTCCTGGCCCGGACCACGTGTCTCCGGCCACTCTGAGACACTGCGCCAGTGAGCTTACTCCTGTGTTCACGGACATTTTCAACTCCTCTCTGCAGTCCTGCCATGTCCCGGCCTGCTTCAAATCCTCCATCATTGTCCCCGTCCCGAAGAAGCCCAGGATCACATGACTCAATGACTACAGACCTGTAGCACTTACGTCTGTCGTCATGAAGTCATTTGAACGCCTGGTTCTCTCCCATCTCAAGTCCCTCACCTCCCCCCTCCTGGACCCCCTGCAGTTCGCCTACAGAGCCAACAGATCTGTAGACGACGCCATTAACCTGGCCCTCCACCACATCCTACAGCACCTGGACTCCCCGGGGACCTACGCCAGGGTCCTGTTCGTGGACTTCAGCTCTGCCTTCAACACAATCCTGCCATCCCTGCTCCAGGACAAGCTCTCCCAGCTCAACGTGCCCGATTCCACCTGCAGGTGGATCACTGACTTCCTGACGGACAGGAAGCAGCGAGTGCGTCTGGGGAAGAATGTCTCGGACTCTCGGATTATAAATACAGGAGCCCCACAGGGCTGTGTTCTTTCTCCCCTGCTCTTCTCCCTGTACACCAACCACTGCACCTCCAGCCACGACTCCGTGAAGCTGATCAAGTTCGCGGACGACACCACCCTCATTGGACTCATCTCCAACAACGATGAGTCCGCCTACAGGAGGGAGGTGGACCGGCTGGTGTCCTGGTGCAGTGGTAACAACCTGGAGCTGAACGCCCAGAAGACAGTGGAGATGATTGTGGACTTCAGGAAGAGCACTGTCCCCCCGCCCCCACCCTCCGTGATGGACTCCCCCATCACCTCTGTGGAGTCCTTCCGTTTCCTGGGCACCACCATCACCCAGGACCTCAAGTGGGAGCCGACCATCAGCTCCCTCATCAAGAAGGCCCAGCAGAGGATGTACTTCCTGCGGCAGCTCAGGAAAGCCAAGCTGCCTGCACAGATGTTGGTGCAGTTCTACACGGCCATCATCGAGTCCATCCTCACCTCCTCCATCACCGTGTGGTTCGCTGGAGCCACAGTCAGGGACAAACAGAGACTACAGCGCATTGTGCGCTCTGCAGAGGAAGTGATCGGCCGCAGCCTTCCATCGCTGCAGGACCTGTACGTCGCCCGAGCTCGAGGCCGGGCTGGTCGTATCACAGCCGACCCCTCTCACCCTGCACATGGACTATTCCAACCACTCCCCTCAGGCAGGAGGCTGCGGTCCATCAGGACTAGAACCTCCCGCCACAAGAACAGGTTCTTCCCCTCTGCTGTTGGACTCTTGAACACTTCTTAACCTGTCCCCCCGCCCTTTATAAAGTCACTTTACTGCCCATCACACGTCACTTTACTTCACTGTACTGCTGTCACCTTACATTGTGTGCACCATGTGCACTTGTATATTGTAAATAGTAACTGTAACTCTATTTTAAATTTAAATTTATTCTTTAGAAGTGTTTTTTATTCTTATTTTTATTATCTCTTTTTGACTGTTGCACTGAGCCAAAGCAATTTCCAAGTCTGTGACCTCCCGTTACTTACGTTGGCAATAAAAATGATTCTGATTCTGATTCTGATTCTGATTCTTTCTCTCCAAACACGGTGGTGATGAACTACTGTAGCCACAGCTGCCCTGGGGCACACTGACAGAAGCGAGGAAACCAGTCTGTGCCATCAGCCCCTCCCACCACCACCAACCATTCACACACACACCAGACTCATTCTAATGTGGGGGAAGTGTCTTGCCTAAAGAGACAACCATAGTTTGGCACTTTACAGCCGCAGCCGCCCCACTGTGGCACCTGCTGTTCCCAGAGGTCTCCCATCACAGACTAACCAGACCCTCTCTTGATTAGCTTCAGAGGTCTGAGGGATCTGGCTTTCACATACAGGTGAGGCCACAAACTGTACTTGCATGTAATCATGCGGCCGCATTTTATTTTCTCCGGTCTTTCTGGTCTCTCTCTGGGACCAGAGTCAGAGACTGGGACCAGAGTCAGAGACTGGGACCAGAGCCAGAGACTGGGACCAGAGCCAGAGTCTGGGACCAGAGCCAGAGTCTGGGACCAGAGTCAGAGACTGGGACCAGAGCCAGAGACTGGGACCAGAGCCAGAGACTGGGACCAGAGCCAGAGACTGGGACTAGAGTCAGAGACTGGGACCAGAGCCAGAGACTGGGACCAGAGTCAGAGACTGGGACCAGAGTCAGAGGCTGGGACCAGAGCCAGAGACTGGGACCAGAGCCAGAGTCTGGGACCAGAGCCAGAGTCTGGGACCAGAGTCAGAGACTGGGACCAGAGCCAGAGACTGGGACCAGAGTCAGAGACTGGGACCAGAGCCAGAGACTGGGACCAGAGCCAGAGACTGGGACTAGAGTCAGAGACTGGGACCAGAGCCAGAGACTGGGACCAGAGTCAGAGACTGGGACCAGAGTCAGAGACTGGGACCAGAGCCAGAGACTGGGACCAGAGCCAGAGACTGGGACCAGAGTCAGAGAGTGGGACCAGAGTCAGAGACTGGGACCAGAGTCAGAGACTGGGACCAGAGTCAGAGACTGGGACCAGAGTCAGAGACTGGGACCAGAGCCAGAGACTGGGACCAGAGTCAGAGACTGGGACCAGAGTCAGAGACTGGGACCAGAGTCAGAGACTGGTCTTACGGTCGCTAACAGGCCGTAGAGCCTTCCTCTCCGGTGGGAGCGGCGCTCATTGGTGCGTCACAGACAGAGCTGCACCTTTAAAGCTCGTGCACATGCCAGACATTCTTGTTGCTCATCCTGCTCCCATCCTGCCACCTGCCCCGCCTCCTTAGGTTTGGTTTGCTCTGGTTTGGTTTGGTTAGCTTTGGTTTGGTTTAGTTTGTGGTATATTTTCTACACACCATTCACCACTGCAGACTCTCACAGCACATACACCGCACACACTCACTACACACTTCAAACCTCATTAAAACATTCACTTTGGTTATTCATAAATATTATTTCAATTGAAACTGTTGTTTAGAGAGTTTCTGTCATTTCTACGGAGGAGATATTTACACCCAGATCTAGCACACGGCAACGGACCCACACAATCTGTTCATAAATATTCAAATGGCTCACTTACAGCTGGAATAGGCTGCAGTGGTGCTGGGGCTAGTGCCCTTTTTCCTGTCAACATGTGTGACAAGTCTTAACAAACGCCGACACATCTCTATTCACCCGCGGCCAAAGAAATGCTTGAGAAGACTCAGATATGTTTTACGAACGCCAAAGTGACCAGAATTATTGTGCGCCACCTCAAGAACGAAACTTTGCTGGAACTACAACTTGGAACATGGCATCGTGCACACGGTCCCCACAAACATGTACTTTCTGAACAGCACATCCTTCTGAACAGAATATCCATTTGCCAAACTCTCTATCTGTGCCTCGTCATTCATTCATATTGTACCCCTTTATTAGTCCATCTCTGGGTCGGGGGGTGGTAATGAGAGCTGCCCCCAATGCTCATAGCACCAGTCCCTCTGATCCTCTGCAGGGGGTGGGTCCACAGGAAGATGGCTGCTACATCAGTGCCACAGCCTCGGTGTTTCAGCGGGAGCTTCAGACAATGTGGGGTTAAGTGTCTTGCCCAAGGACACAACGACAGTAGACATTAGTGGGAGCAGAGTTTTGTGCCTCGGAGACAGCCAAATCAAATGAACTTTCCAAAGTCAGACCTTCTTGCTGCGACCGAACCAACTCAGCGTGGGATACATTTAATGGATATTCTGCCGTGGACAACACAAAATCACTGACTCTGCATCATCTGCAGAATCCGCTTCATGCATGGCCTGCGTCACCGCGCACGCAGGGAACACGTCTGGCTGCGATGACGTAACGCTCTCAGGGACAGTGGGACATAAAGTAACAACAGGTGCAGCACCTCCACAGCCTCAGGATCCACAGTCTCCCCACCACCAGAGTCTGTGTCAGCCCAGACACCACCACCAGAGTCTGTGTCAGCCCAGACACCACCACCAGAGTCTGTGTCAGCCCAGACACCACCACCAGAGTCTGTGTCAGCCCAGACACCACCACCAGAGTCTGTGTCAGCCCAGACACCACCACCAGAGTCTGTGTCAGCCCAGACACCACCACCAGAGTCTGTGTCAGCCCAGACACCACCACCAGAGTCTGTGTCAGCCCAGACACCACCACCAGAGTCTGTGTCAGCCCAGACACCACCACCAGAGTCTGTGTCAGCCCAGACACCACCACCAGAGTCTGTGTCAGCCCAGACACCACCACCAGAGTCTGTGTCAGCCCAGACACCACCACCAGAGTCTGTGTCAGCCCAGACACCACCACCAGCCGACCCATTCTCCAAAATGAAATGAATCCTCTCGATGGGCAGCGCTGGTCGCACACCGACAGTGACCTCTCCCCGCACCAGCTCACACTCCAATCTCATCCTGTGTAACAGAATGGACAACACGGCCACGCCCATGCCACGGCTCAGTATGAAGTCCCCTGTGTCCCGGACGAGCCCCATTCTGCCATAACCCGGCTCCGTAGAAATGACAGAAACTCTCTAAACAACAGTTTCAATTGAAATAATATTTATGAATAACCAAAGTGAATGTTTTAATGAGGTTTGAAGTGTGTAGTGAGTGTGTGCGGTGTATGTGCTGTGAGAGTCTGCAGTGGTGAATGGTGTGTAGAAAATATACCACAAACTAAACCAAACCAAAGCTAACCAAACCAAACCAGAGCAAACCAAACCTAAGGAGGCGGGGCAGGTGGCAGGATGGGAGCAGGATGAGCAACAAGAATGTCTGGCATGTGCACGAGCTTTAAAGGTGCAGCTCTGTCTGTGACGCACCAATGAGCGCCGCTCCCACATGGTACATACTTTCTGGTACTAACGCTAACACATCAACACGTCACACATGGTACTTACTTTCTGGTCACTAACACAGACACATCAAAACGTCACACATGGTACTTACTTTCTGGTCCCTAACACAGACACATGGTACTTACTTTCTGGTCACTAACACAGACACATGGTACTTACTTTCTGGTCACTAACACAGACACATGGTAATTACTTTCTGGTCACTAACACAGACACATGGTACTTACTTTCTGGTCACTAACACAGACACATGGTACTTACTTTCTTGTCACTAACACAGACACATGGTACTTACTTTCTGGTCACTAACACAGACACATGGTACTTACTTTCTGGTCACTAACACAGACACATGGTACTTACTTTCTGGTCACTACCACAGACACATGGTACTTACTTTCTGGTCACTAACACAGAAACATGGTACTTACTTTCTGGTCACTAACACAGACACATGGTACTTACTTTCTGGTCACTAACACAGACACATGGTACTTACTTTCTGGTCACTAACACAGACACATGGTACTTACTTTCTGGTCACTAACACAGACACATGGTACTTACTTTCTGGTCACTAACACAGACACATGGTACTTACTTTCTGGTCACTAACACAGACACATGGTACTTACTTTCTGGTCACTAACACAGACACATGGTACTTACTTTCTGGTCACTAACACAGACACATGGTACTTACTTTCTGGTCACTAACACAGACACATGGTACTTACTTTCTGGTCACTAACACAGACACATGGTACTTACTTTCTGGTCACTAACACAGACACATGGTACTTACTTTCTGGTCACTAACACAGACAGACTGATCCTTATTGTTCCTGAAGAAGTCTCTGTCGTGTTGCTCTGAAACACACAAGACCAAGGAGGAAGTCGTCACAACCGACTCAACTGGTTTGGCAGATTTCTCTATAGTCTCTCTCTGGTTTCTAAATCTGGAGTCTTCCTGGTCTCTCCCTCTGATCTCTTTCTGGTCTCTCTCTTTCTTTTCTCTCTCTGGTCATTCATTGGTCTCTGTCTCTGGTCTCTCTCTGGTCTCACTGTGGTCTCTCTCTGGTCTCTCTCTGGTCTCTCTCTGGTCTCACTGTGGTCTCTCTCTGGTCTCTCTCTCTGGTCTCACTGTGGTCTCACTGTGGTCTCTCTCTGGTCTCTCTCTGGTCTCTCTCTCTGGTCTCTCTCTCTGGTCTCTCTCTGGTCTCTCTCTCTGGTCTCTCTCTGGTCTCTCTCTGGTCTCTCTCTCTGGTCTCTCTCTCGTCTCTCTCTGGTCTCTCTCTGGTCTCTCTCTGGTCTCTCTCTGGTCTCTCTCTGGTCTCTCTCTGGTCTCTCTCTCTGGTCTCTCTCTCTGGTCTCTCACTGTGGTCTCTCTCTGGTCTCTCTCTCTGGTCTCACTGTGGTCTCACTGTGGTCTCTCTCTGGTCTCTCTCTGGTCTCTCTCTGGTCTCTCTCTCTGGTCTCTCTCTCTGGTCTCTCTCTGGTCTCTCTCTCTGGTCTCTCTCTCTCGTCTCTCTCTGGTCTCTCTCTGGTCTCTCTCTCGTCTCTCTCTGGTCTCTCTCTCTGGTCTCTCTCTGGTCTCTCTCTGGTCTCTCTCTGGTCTCTCTCTCTGGTCTCTCTCTGGTCTCTTTCTGATCTCTGTGTCAGCCCAGACACCACCACCAGAGCCCAATGAGCGCCGCTCCCACCGGAGAGGAAGGCTCTACGGCCTGTTAGCGACCGTAAGACTGGGACCAGAGCCAGAGACTGGGACCAGAGTCTAGACTCTACTCTCACTAACACAGACACATTATTATACACTATTGTTATTCGTTGGTTTCATATTATTATTCTTTTTCCGCCGAAACAATTAAATTTTTGACCCTGAAGACATGCACGAAAGTCTGCACATGGGGGGTCTTAAACCTCTATGAGACGAGCATAAAAGCCGGTCTAAGCACATGTCTGGGACCAACAGGAAGTCGGCCATGATGGGCCGAAGTTTCGCCGCCAATTTGACTTTTCATTTATAACTTCGAACTAGTCCCTGGTTTTTCATCAGTTCTACCACGTCATTTCCTAATCTGGATGGATTGAAGTTATATAATCATAAAAAAAAAGTTAGAAAATCTTCACAGTTTTCGTCCCTCGCCATGGCGAATAAGGCCTTCGTTTTGGCCATTTTCGCTGAGCCCTGAGGGCCACAGGCTCAGACCTACAGAGCTGAGACTCACATCAGTAATAATAGGTTATGGCCTGAACGCAATGACACTAAAATCATTCGCCCATTATGAGCTCTTTAGCGCCACCTGTCGGAAAGTAATAGGACACTAGTGCTCGGATCGGCCCGAAAATCGCTGAGTGTATTTTCTGGACCGAGACGAGCAAAGTTGTAAGTCCTACACCTGACCACTGGGGGCGCCGGAAAGTGAATGAATGAGCTTTTTGGGGCAAAATGTTTGTCCGATGAAGCTAAAATGAATTCAGAAATACAGCGTATGACCCTGAACACAACGATATGCAACACACAACTGTGAGTGCAACAGCGCCACCTACAGGCAGTTCAAGGTGTCGCATTTTTGGCTTCGTACTAGTCCCTGGATTTTCATCGCACAGACTTCTACCATGTCATTTCCTAATCTGGATGGATTGAAGTTATGCAATCATCGCATAAAAGTTAGAATTTTGTTATCGTTTTCATGCGAGGTAGTGGGGAATTTCTCCATGTTTGATGCTCTCGTGATCACAGGCTCAGACCTACAGAGCTGAAACTCACATCACTAACAGTTGGTAATGACCTGAGGGTAATGGTGTGAAAACACACACCTAATATGACTCTACAGCGCCACCTATGGAAGGCTTCTGACCTAAACTTTTCCGATCTTCACCAAAGTTGCAAAATCAAATCTTTACATCTGTACGAGCAAAATACTACTCTACGTAGAGGATACATGTCCCGGAGGTGACCACTAGGGGCGCACTTTATCCTATTAATGAGCTTTTATGTACGTAATCCTGGTCAGATCGGGCTGCCAATTCGTCGGCCTGACGCTTGTGGGACTGGCGCCCGGGAGGCGGTCGCAAGAGGGGCGAGGCCTTTTAATTATTATTATTATTAACGTTAATTAAGAGGCATAATCCTTTGATATGAATCATCTCGTTTTCAGAAATGTCTCAAAATCAAATTAAAAAAATATAAACAGCAACAGTCAACTATATACAAAACAATTATTACATTACCTCAGATCAACACGTCACACATGGTACTTACTTTCTGGTCATTAACACAGACACATCACACATGGTACTTACTTTTTGGCCACTAACACAGACACATCACACATGGTACTTACCTTCTGGTCACTAACACACACACATCAACACGTCACACATGGTACTTACTTTCTGGTCACTAACACAGACACATTACACATGGTACTTACTTTCTGGTCACTAACACACACACATCAACACGTCATACATGGTACTTACTTTCTGGTCACTAACACACACACATCAACACGTCACATATGGTACTTACTTTCTGGTCCCTAACACAGACACATGGTACTAACTTTCTGGTCCCTAACACAGACACATGGTACTTACTTTCTGGTACCTAACACAGACACATAGTACTTACTTTCTGGTCACTAACACACACATCAACACGTCACACATGGTACTTACTTTCTGGTTCCTAACACAGACACATGGTACTAACTTTCTGGTCCCTAACACAGACACATGGTACTTACTTTCTGGTCACTAACACACACATCAACACGTCACACATGGTACTTACTTCCTGGTCACTGACACAGATACATGGTACTTACTTTCTGGTCCCTAACACAGACACATGGTACTTTCTGGTCACTAACACAGACATATGGTACTTACTTTCTGGTCACTAACACAGACACATGGTACTTACTTTCTGGTCACTAACACAGACATATGGTACTTACTTTCTGGTCACTAACACAGACACATGGTACTTACTTTCTGGTCACTAACACAGACACATGGTACTTACTTTCTGGTCACTAACACAGACACATGGTACTTACTTTCTGGTCACTAACACAGACACATGGTACTTACTTTCTGGTCACTAACACAGACAGACTGATCCTTATTGTTCCTGAAGAAGTCTCTGTCGTGTTGCTCTGAAACACACAAGACCAAGGAGGAAGTCGTCACAACCGACTCAACTGGTTTGGCAGATTTCTCTATAGTCTCTCTCTGGTTTCTAAATCTGGAGTCTTCCTGATCGCTCTCTGGTCCCTCTCTTTCTGTTCTCTTTCTACTTTCTATATTTGGAGTCTCTCTCTGGTCTCTCTCTGGTCTCTCTGGTCTCTCTGTTGTCTCATTCCTGTCTCTCTCTGGTCTCTCTCTGATCTCTCTCTGATCTCCCTCTGGTCTCTCTCTGGTCTCTCTCTGGTCCCTCTCTTGTCCATCAGTAAAAGTGTCACTTCCGGTACCGTCTTTCACCAGTCTCTCTGGTCTCTCTCGGGTCCCTTTCTGGTTTCTCTCTCTGGTCTTTCTCTCTGGTCTCTCTCTGGTCTCTCTCTGGTCTTCTCTATGGTCTTTCTCTGCTCTCTCTCTGATCTCTCTCTCTGGTCTCTCTCTCTGGTCTCTCTCTGGTCTCTCTCTCTGGTGTCTCTCTGATCTCTCTCTCTGGTCTCTCTCTGATCTCTCTCTCTGGTCTCTCTCTGGTCTCTCTCTCTGGTCTCTCTCTGGTAACAATAATAATAATAATACATTTTATTTAAACGCGCCTTTCTAAACACCCAAGGACACTGTACAGGCATAATAAAAACATTAAAAACAGGAGCAACAGAATAAAACAGTAGTCAAGTGCATTATGGGATGGGGTAGGACAGTCTGAACAGATGGGTTTTGAGTCTGGATTTGAAGAGTGGAAGAGAGTCAATGGTACGGAGGTCAGTGTGGCTGAAGGCTCTGTGTCCCACAGGGATGAGTCTGGCTGGGGGGACGGAGAGTGTGAGGGTGGAGGAGGAGCGGAGTGTGCGGGCAGGAGTGGCAGGGTGGAGGAGGAGCTGGAGTGGCAGGGTGGAGGAGGAGCAGGAGTGGCAGGGTGGAGGAGGAGCAGGAGTGGCAGGGTGGAGGAGGAGCAGAAGTGGCAGGGTGGAGGAGGAGCAGGAGTGGCAGGGTGGAGGAGGAGCAGGAGTGGCAGGGTGGAGGAGGAGCAGGAGTGGCAGGGTGGAGGAGGAGCAGGAGTGGCAGGGTGGAGGAGGAGCAGGAATGGCAGGGTGGAGGAGGAGCAGGAGTGGCAGGGTGGAGGAGGAGCAGAAGTGGCAGGGTGGAGGAGGAGCAGGAGTGGCAGGGTGGAGGAGGAGCAGGAGTGGCAGGGTGGAGGAGGAGCAGGAGTGGCAGGGTGGAGGAGGAGCAGGAATGGCAGGGTGGAGGAGGAGCAGGAGTGGCAGGGTGGAGGAGGAGCAGGAGTGGCAGGGTGGAGGTGGAGCAGGAGTGGCAGGGTGGAGGAGGAGCAGGAGTGGCAGGGTGGAGGAGGAGCAGGAGTGGCAGGGTGGAGGTGGAGCAGGAGTGGCAGGGTGGAGGTGGAGCAGGAGTGGCAGGGTGGAGGAGGAGCAGAAGTGGCAGGGTGGAGGAGGAGCAGGAGTGGCAGGGTGGAGGAGGAGCAGGAGTGGCAGGGTGGAGTAGGAGCAGGAGTGGCAGGAGTGGCAGGGTGGAGGAGGAGCAGGAGTGGCAGGGTGGAGGAGGAGCAGGAGTGGCAGGGTGGAGGAGGAGCAGGAGTGGCAGGGTGGAGGAGGAGCAGAAGTGGCAGGGTGGAGGAGGAGCAGGAGTGGCAGGGTTGAGGAGGAGCAGAAGTGGCAGAGTGGAGGAGGAGCAGAAGTGGCAGGGTGGAGGAGGAGCAGGAGTGGCAGGGTGGAGGAGGAGCAGGAGTGGCAGGGTGGAGGAGGAGCAGGAGTGGCAGGGTGGAGGAGGAGCAGGAGTGGCAGGGTGGAGGAGGAGCAGAAGTGGCAGGGTGGAGGAGGAGCAGGAGTGGCAGGGTGGAGGAGGAGCAGGAGTGGCAGGGTGGAGGAGGTCAGATAAGTGGAGGAGGAGCAGGAGTGGCAGGGTGGAGGAGGAGCAGGAGTGTCAGGGTGGAGGTGGAGCAGGAGTGGCAGGGTGGAGGAGGAGCAGGAGTGGCAGGGTGGAGGAGGAGCAGGAGTGGCAGGGTGGAGGAGGAGCAGGAGTGGCAGGGTGGAGGTGGAGCAGGAGTGGCAGGGTGGAGGAGGAGCAGGAGTGGCAGGGTGGAGGAGGTCAGATAAGTGGAGGAGGAGCAGGAGTGGCAGGGTGGAGGAGGAGCAGGAGTGGCAGGGTGGAGGAGGTCAGATAAGTGGAGGAGGAGCAGGTTGTGAAGTGAATCAGTTGTTTAACAGGAAGCCAGTGGAGTTGTCGGAGTACGGGGGTGATGTGGTCAGCTGTGGGGGTCCGGGGGATGATGCAGCTGCAGAGTTTTGAGGAGCTGCAGTTTCTGGAGGGATTTGTTGGGGAGGCCGAAGAGAAGTGAGTTGCAGTCGTCAATCCTAGAGATGACGAGGCTGTGGACGAGGATGGCGGTGGTGTGGGGGGTGAGAGAGGGGCGGAGACGAGGGTGGTGTGGGGGGGTGAGAGAGGGGCGGAGACGAGGGTGGTGTGGGGGGTGAGAGAGGGGCGGAGACGAGGGTGGTGTGGGGGGTGAGAGAGGGGCGGAGACGAGGGTGGTGTGGGGGGTGAGAGAGGGGCGGAGACGAGGGTGGTGTGGGGGGTGAGAGAGGGGCGGAGACGAGGGTGGTGGAGGTGGAAGTAGGCGGACCGAGTGATATTATTGATGTGAGATTGGAAGGAGAGTGAACTGTCGAGGATGACACCCAGACTCTTGACCTGAGGGGAGGGGAGGACAGATGTGTTATGGATGGAGAGGGGAGGGGAGGACAGATGTGTTATGGATGGGGAGGGGAGGGGAGGACAGATGTGTTATGGATGGAGAGGGGAGGGGAGGACAGATGTGTTATGGATGGAGAGGGGAGGGGAGGACAGATGTGTTATGGATGGAGACAGAGAAGCTGTTAGATTTGGAGAGAGTGGAGGGGGTGCCCACGAGAAGGACTTCAGTTTTAGAGCTGTTGAGTTTGAGAAAGTTGGAAGAGAACCAGGAATTAATTTCTGGTCTCTCTCTGGTCTCTCTCTCTGGTCTCTCTCTGGTCTCTCTCTGGTCTCACTCTGGTCTCTCTCTGGTCTCTCTTCTGGTCTCTCTCTGGTCTCTCTCTGGTCTCTCTCTCTGGTCTCTCTCTCTGGTCTCTCTCTGGTCTCTCTCTGGTCTCTCTCTGGTCTCACTCTGGTCTCTCTCTGGTCTCTCTCTCTGGTCTCTCTCTGGTCTCTCTCTGGTCTCTCTCTGGTCTCTCTCAGGTCTCTTTCTGGTCTCTCTCTGGTCTCTCTCTCTGGTCCATCAGTAAAAGTCTTACTTCCTGTAATAACAGACAGACAGGCCACGCCCCCCTGTCCCCTCACTGTGAACTGTAAAAACGACGCTGAAAACGACGCTGAAAACGACGCTGAAAACGACGCTGAAAACGACGCTGAAAACATCGTAGTAAGTAGTAGTAATCTTATTTATATACCGCCTTTCACAGACCAGAGTCACAAAGCGGTTTACAATTGTTATTTTTTGGGCACTCTCACTCCACACAGAGATGGGAGCGGGGTGGGAGCATCTGAAAACTACAAATCTCACGACTTTAGTGGAAATGAACAACGTCAAACACCAAAGGGAGGAAAAAGGGATTGAAGCAAACCATGAAGCGACCGCCACGGCATCAAGAGACCAGGAGTTTCAAGAGTCACAACCGGGCTCCAACCAAATTCTAAAAGCAATCACGGATTTAAAGTTGGACAAAGTGGGTCTGAGGACTGATTTTACAGATAAAACTGATCATGTCCTGTCAGTGGTCCAAGGGATAAGAACCCATCTAGATGAGAGCTTTAAGAGGCTGACGCAAGCAACGAATCTCTCATCATGAAAACACAGTAGGAACCCTCAAAACTACGGTTAACAAACTCCAAAGCCAAATAAAGACGTCACCTCTAAAGTGGACCATCAAGAAAACAGGAGCCGGAGATCCAACTTGAGGCTGAAAGGTCTTCCCGAGGGAGCGGAGGGAGCGGATCCGTGTGGATTCATGGAAAGGTGCCTGGCCGAGGTTCTGGAGCTGGGACCGCGACGAACCCCACTTATCATGGAGCGCTGCCATCGGCTTCCCAGCTCTGTCAGCTTCATCGACAAGGAGAGGCCTCCACGTCCCGTCATCATGAAGTGTTTAAACTTCCAAGATAAAACGCTGGTCCAAATCGCTGCCAGGAAGAAGGGAAAGCCCTCTATAAATCCAGGCAGGTGATGTTCTTCCCGGACGTGTCGCCTGAAGTCCATAGATTGCAGCAGGATTACAGCGAGGTCAAGAAGATCCTCCGAGCTAAAAATGTTGGATACAGAATCATATATCCAGCCCGTCTCCCAGTGACCTGTGGTGGTCGCACGCATCTGTTGGAAACGCCAGCTCAAGTCGCTCACTTCATACGTGGGATGGAGAAAAGTGACAACGATTCACCAAAAGATGAGTAAAGACATGTATTTTAACTGTGGCTTATTTAAGTATACTGCCACCTGGTGGACAGGGTTTGCACATTGGTTTGAGTTACTGTCTTATAAACTGAGCAAAATGCTGCTGCTTCATAATTAACAAATGAATACTTGCAGAGTATATGAGATTATTTTATTGTTTATTCTTGACTCTTAAAGGTTTATTGTTTTATTTGTCCTTCCGTCCAGTAACATCAGTTTAATGTGATCTTCTAGTTCCACTGTTTCTACTTTCCTTCATAGCGGGTGACAGGGAAAAGGCGTTTGAGAGGGTGTGGCCTGTTCATGTCTTGGATGTTCTTGTTGCTGTGTGCGTGTCTGTCTGGTATGTATGGGGCCTATTCTTTGACCATTCACTCTCCTCCTTTAAGCATGTTCCTCAAATCATATAAGATCTACACTTCTAATAGTGACAGCTCCTCTGAAACTGAGGAAAACTATTTGAGCCTAAACTCTCACAACTTGGAGCCAAGAATCAATTTCTCCGACTATTTCAATGATAAAACACAAAGGAACATGGATGAAACTGATCCAGATAGAAACGTTTTTCCAAATACCAAGAGTGGTTGTTTGTATTTTACTGATATCATGTTTGACAAAGAATTTACAAAGAGAAAAAACATTTCTTTGGTGCATTTCAATAGTAGAAGTTTATTCTCACATTTGAATGAATCCAACAATATCTGAAACAATGTAAATGTCTTTTTCAATAAAAGAGCAGTTTCAGAAACATGGATAAATGAGAAGACAGTGAGTTTGTAATGAGTATGAAATGTTCTGTACTAACAGACAACATCAGAGAGGAGGGGAGTGGCTTTATATGTTGATAATAACATCATGTGTCATATTGTTGATCACACTCTTTCACCGTCAACGAACTTTTTCACTGTGTAACAATAGAAATGACAATTGTATTTTAGTAATGTAATGTCATTCAGAAAATGGATGGAGAAAATATTTAGTAATAAAAACAAAGATCTTATAATCTGTGGAGACTACAATATGAACTTATTAAATCCTAATAATAATAAACTGACAGATGAATTTATAGACAGTATGTTTTCCATGGGTCTCTATCCACTTAAAACCAGACCAACAGCACCAGTGCCACTCTGATAGCTCTGATAATAACATGTTCTGTCATATTTTAGACAAAAACATAGCGGGTGGTCTGCTGGTAAATGATGCCAGTGACATCTGCCAGTTTTCATGATATATGATCTAAACTATAACCAAACCTGTAAACCGTGAGTGCCATTGTAGAGTAACAACAGAACAATCCATAAACGCCCTGAACATGGATTTGGCAACACAGAACTGGGAACATGTTTGCCAAATGTCAGATGTAAATACAGCTTACAACTCCTTTTTAAAACTCTCTATGACAAAAAATGTCCCGTTAAAACATTTAGGATAAAAGACTCCACAATAACTCCTTGGTTAACTAAAGGGCTTTCAAATGCCTGCAAAAAGAAAACATATTTATATAGACAATTCTTTAGGCTTAGAACAAGAGAATTGTGATATAAAAAATACAAAAACAAATGAACCAGTATTTTGAGAGAAAGTATGAAAGAATATTACACCAAATGATGAATGAAAAAGATCAATGATATCAAAGGAGTTTGGAACATATGAAACACAGTGATTGGTCGTGGCTCTGAAAGCCTGTGTTGCCATGGATACTGTGCAGTGAATGGTAAAATGATAAGGGTCAAAAAGGCGATTGCAGATGGGTTTAATCATTTCTTTGGAAGTATCGGACCTGAATTGGCCAAAAAAACAGCAAACAACAACGAGTCACTGGATGAATGTAAATAAAGTGTAGTTGGATGTTGGTCAGTCGCACAGATGAGGTGGAAGTACTGAACCTCATTATTTATCTGTTTATTCCAAAAACCACCATTAACATCTGACACAGAATAATCCAATCAATAAACAAGGTTTGGAAAGAGCTGAAGCAAACACTCGTATGTTTCCATCCCCCCTCCTCACACTCTGCACTCATACAGACAGGACATAAAGACACACACAAACACACAACACACACACACACTCACACTGGCCCAATCACTCTCCGACCCCACACCCCTCTCTCAGCACCAGAACACTCTCCGACCCCACACCCCTCTCTCAGCACCAGAACACTCTCCGACCCCACACCCCTCTCTCAGCACCAGAACACTCTCCGACCCCACACCCCTCTCTCAGCACCAGAACACTCTCCGACCCCACACCCCTCTCTCAGCACCAGAACACTCTCCGACCCCACACCCCTCTCTCAGCACCAGAACAAGCCCAGGGCATCACACACTCTCCTCCAAGTATTTGTGCAACAGTTTTTACATTTGTTCTTGAATATTCTACTGTTTGAGCATGATTTCAGTTCATGTGACGGTCCGTTCCAAATATGACCTCCACACACTGAGACACACATTGACTTTAGGCTTGTTCTAACTGTAGGTTGATATCATTGACCGTTTCCTCTGGGTTTGTGCCGATGGTGAGACGCCCTGAACATTATCGGAGCAGTTTTAAACATCATCAGGTCGTACAGTTTGACTTCTTGATTTGCAATGAACAGGGATTAGAAGGATCTGTACTGGACGTTACCCACAATCCTCAGGGCTTTCTTTGGCAACACAACTAAGGGCTGCAAGTGAGATTTGTAACACTTCCCCCACAACACAATAGTTCAAATAAGACATAATGAATGATACAATAATAACACAGCATTAGTATTAATTAAACGACTTGATCTTCTCAACATTCCAACACATTTTGAAACTTTGGTCCTTACGTAACTTATGTGAGGTTTCCAAGTCAGATTCTCGTCTATCATGACTCCTAAAAATACATTTTCTTTAACATGTTCAGTTGGTGTTTGATCAATAACTATTCTAAATGGTATAATGCTTTTACGGTTTCCAAAAAGCATAACTTTGTTCATCTGCACTGATACGAGGGACAAAAGTAGCTCCAAACCATGGCCTGCACATGTGATGGTGGTGTCGTCGGCAAAGAGGATGCGTTTCATGAACGCTGATATTTTGTATAACTCATTGATGTTCATGAGGAATAAGGTGGGTCCTAAGATTGATCCTTGTGGCACCCCACAAGTTCTATCCTTTAAGATTGAGCCATGATGATCAAAGTGAAACTGTATTGGTCTGGACAGATCCTCACTCCTCTGGTTCAATTCCTATCTACATCAACGTCAACAATGTGTCTTTTACAATGGTAGCTACTCTGGTTTTTCTTTTAACGAGAGAGGTGTGCCACAAGGTTCGTCACTGGGTCCACTTCTTTTCTCCATTTTTATTAATGACCTTCCCCTTGCCTGTACAGACTGTAGCATTCAACTTTATGCAGATGATACAGTGATTTACACATCCAATGATAACATCAGCAATATTCAACAATCTATCCAACATGACTTTAATTCTGTTCAACACTGGCTAAAATCTAACAAATTATTACTGAACAAATCAAAAACAGTTGTCATGTTGTTCCTGAAAAAAATGCATCCTATTTTCTCTAACAAAATTCAGCTTACTTTTTCAGACATGTGTCCAGTTCCAGTCGTTGATAAATTTAAATATCTTGGTTTGTGGCTTGATCCTTCTCTATCATTTAACATTCATATACAAACAATCACAAACAAAATTTCATATAGACTAAAAGTACTTTACCATTCATTGAACTGTTTTGGTTTATCTGTTAGGAAGAGGATCATTTGTCAACTGATTTTACCTATTCTTGATTACAGTGATATAATTTATCAAAACACTACTGCCTCTGTCCTCCAGCCCCTGAACGTCACCTACCACAGCCTGTGCAGGTTCATTCTCCGTCCCTTTAGAACGCACCACTGCCTCTGTCCTCCAGCCCCTGAACGTCACCTGCCACAGCCTGTGCAGGTTCATTCTCCGTCCCTTTAGAACGCACTACTGCCTCTGTCCTCCAGCCCCTGAACATCACCTACCACAGCCTGTGCAGGTTCATTCTCCGTCCCTTTAGAACGCACTACTGCCTCTGTCCTCCAGCCCCTGAACATCACCTACCACAGCCTGTGCAGGTTCATTCTCCGTCCCTTTAGAACGCACTACTGCCTCTGTCCTCCAGCCCCTGAACATCACCTACCACAGCCTGTGCAGGTTCATTCTCCGTCCCTTTAGAACGCACTACTGCCTCTGTCCTCCAGCCCCTGAACGTCACCTGCCACAGCCTGTGCAGGTTCATTCTCCGTTGTCCCTTTAGAACGCACCACTGCCTTCTGTACGAGCAGCTTTCCTGGCTCTCTCTGTCCTCCAGACGTCAGCTA